TTCAACTACAGAGACATTGATTGGGAAAACATGCAAGCTGCTTCAAGCAAATCAGGTGCATTTCTAGAAGTTATACAGGACAATCTATGGTGTCAGCATGTGACTCAACCTACAAGGCTTGATTCAATTCTGGATCTTGTCATCACATCAAATCCTGACATGATCGATGAAGTGGAGGTCCTCGCACATCTTGGAACCAGTGATCATAACATGTTAAGATGGGAAACCAACTACTATGTCCAACCATGTGTACCTCAACCTAAGAGAGACTACAAAAATGCTGACTTTGATCAAATCAGAACAGAACTAAAAGAAATAGATTGGATAAAGGAACTTGAAAACCAGACGACTGATCAAATATGGAACACAATTGAAAGAAAGTTGAAGCAGTTAATGCATGATCATGTACCATTAAAAAGGCAATCTAGAAAGAAGAAAGCTATCTGGCTCACAAAAAGAACACAGAAAAGCATCCGTCGAAAGCATCGAGCTTGGAAAAGGTACAAATCAGATAAGACAACCAAGAACTTAGAGTACTACAAGAAATGCCAGAGGGACGCCAAACATGAAATAAAGACGGCAAAACGTGACTTCGAGAAGAAACTTGCTCAAAACATTAAAGAAGATTCGAAGAGCTTCAGTCTATGCATATGTTCGATCAAAACAAAAGGTCAGAGACACTGTAGGACCTCTTAAAAGAGAAAATGGAGAGTCAGTCCCATCAGGCCGACAAACGGCAAATATCTTAAATGAATACTTTGCAGCAGTCTTCACTGAAGAGGACCTAAATGTTCCAAATCCCCAGAATGTCTTCATAGGAACTAATGAAGAGATCCTTGCTGAGATAGAAATCACTGAAGATTGTGTGAAAAAGAAGCTTGAACACCTCGACCCATCCAAAGCAGCGGGTCCAGACGATATACCACCGGCTTTTCTAAGACCCCTGGCTGAAGAACTGAGTTTTCCATACACCATTTTGTTTGGAAAATCATTAAAGGAAGGACATGTACCAGAGGAATGGAGATCAGCCCATATAACTCCAATATTCAAGAAAGGGGCAAGATCTAAACCGGAGAACTACCGACCGATCAGCTTAACATCAGTCAGCTGTAAAGTACTAGAGAGCATTATCAAAGACAAAATAACTAACCACCTGAATAAATATGGTCTGATACAGGATACCCAGCATGGTTTTAGGGAAGGGAAATCTACAACTACCAACTTGCTAGAATACCTAGAAATCATCACCAAATCAGTAGACAATGGTACACCAGTAGATGTAGTATACCTTGACCTAGCAAAGGCCTTCGATACCGTCCCACACAAGAGACTAGTAACAAAGATCAAGGCCCATGGAATAGATGGTAACATATTACAGTGGATAACAGCCTGGCTCAACAGTCGCAAGCAGAAAGTCGTTACCCAGGGAGCCAAATCTAGCTGGAGACCTGTTACCAGCTCTGTAGTACAAGGATCAGTCCTGGGACCACTGTGCTTCTTGATATACATGAATGACCTCGAAATTGGGCTAACCGACAAATCAACAGTTAGCAAATTTGCTGATGACACCAAGCTAATCCATTCAGTGCAAATAGACAATGATAGAACAGACATGCAAAACTCCATCAACCACCTTCACAGATGGGCAAATACATGGCAGATGAGGTACAATGCAGACAAATGTGGAGTGATGCATTTTGGAACCCACAACCCACACTACACATACACGATGGGCAACTCCCAGCTGAAAGAAAGTACAGAAGAAAAAGATCTAGGGGTTCTAGTACACAAGTCCCTGAAAGTTGCCTCCCAGTGTGCTGCAGCAGCAAATAAAGGAAACAGGACACTAGGAATGATAAAACGCAACTTTACATTCAGGAGTAAGGAAGTGATCTTGAAACTATACAAGTCACTCGTCAGACCCCACCTAGATTACGCCATTCAGGCCTGGTGTCCTTACCTGGAAAAAGACAAAAAGAAGTTGGAAAAAGTTCAAGCAAGAGCCACAAAACTCATCCCAAGTATTCAACATCTACCATATGAAGAGAGACTAGCAAAACTGAAACTAACTACTTTGGAGAAAAGAAGAGAGAGAGGAGACCTACTGCAAACCTACAGGATAATGAAGCAAATCGACAAATCCAACCCCGAGAATTATTTTCAGTTTGCTAACTATGAAAGAACAAGAGGCCATTCCATGAAGCTAGCCAAAACAAGAAGCCGCCTTGACATCAGGAAAAATTTCTATAGCCAGAGAGTTGTAAGCAATTGGAACAAGCTGCCACAAACTGCCATTGATGCTCCCACACTCCTAAGCTTCAAACAACAACTATCCAACCTGGGTTTTTAAATGGGTCCCATGGGACCCCCTTAACCCTGCCACACCACACTATCTACGGGATCGTTATCACCACGATGGCGAGGTGTGGACTTCAAGGTATATTCAAGGTATACCTCCACTCAGAAAGTGTCGATCGTGGTCATGAGCGCGAGCAAGTGTTACGGTGTTGGTATATTCTACGGTGTAAAGCGCACGTGCGGAGCAGTGCTCTGAGCTTGGTGCAACTTTAAAAAGCGCCCTCTCCTGACGAAATACGAATAACCGTGTTTTTCGATAAACCTTGTTTATCGTCGATAAACCTTGTTTATCGAGGGAAACTGTGTTTATCAGTCAATATACAGAGTTTCTTACGATAAACAAGGTTTATCGGTCGATAAACAAGGTTTATCGCTCGATAAACCTTGTTTTTCGCTCGATAAACCTTGTTTTTCGTCGATAAACCTTGTTTATCGGCGATAAACAATGTTTTTCGGGGTTATTGGGCATATGGCGCGCCATACACGTGGGTCGAGTTTGGCAAAGATCGATTAATTCATGTCTTGCCAAAGGTCATTGGTGCCGTGGCAAGACTTGAACGCGTACCACGTGATTCTCAGTGCGATGACGTACCCACTAGTACACCACGACACGTTCTAACGCTTTAAACGCATTGTCAGTGTCAAAACAACAGATCATTTCTTTTTCCGTTGTCACATGCATATAATTATAAAAAAAGACCAAAAGTCGAATTCAAATGTCTCTTGGTAACTAAAGCATAGGTTATTTGATCAGGGGTGCTCGTTTACAAAACTGCCTATCATAACGGAACTAATAAACACGCTTGAATCGATTTGTTTTTATTTGATATGTTTTATTAAAAATGAAGTAATAAAGCTACATTAAATGAAAAAAACGAAAACCATACATAATAACATACCAATAACATAATTACACAATGAACTAATATTCGCTTTTAGGCTACATAATGGGTTAAAAACAAATGTGACAAGAAAAGACAAGTACATAATTTATTACACGTTATAACAGTAACTCTTTGTTTAATTATACTAATAATGTATTAGTTTTTTACAGCGCTTAACTTAATACGAGTTATATTTTCCTTCACCATTTAGATATCCGAAGTAAAGAAATCATAGGACAAATCGTTATAATGATCGAAGATGAAAATAGCTGGATGACCTCATGTAAAATAAATATAAACCGCAATCCAACAAAACTAACAATGAATGTTCAAGATAACAAATAAATGACATCTGCCCAACGATTCTGGTAAAAAATGTATTGGAGCTTCGTTATAAGCATGGAAAGAAAATGAAATAAAGGTAAGTAGGCCCGACACTGTATGCTTAACACAGATCACTGTGCGTGAATGAAAGTTGTGGTTTTTTATTGAAGATGATTTCCATCAATTTTTTGGAAGTTTGTTTTTTATTTTATTGGTTCAAACAATCAATTTACTGTAGGAAAAACAATCAACAATGAATAATTGGCATGTTATCTCGGCATTCTATTCCCATACCAGAGCTAAAGATTATCTTAAAAGGTAAAGACCAGTTTTGGAAACGCCCCAATTTTAAAAAAAAATGAAATGGAAGCTCTTATTACCAATCATGTGAAAGAATATGTTTGACTAATACATGATGATAAAAATTTTGCTGGGAAACCGCCCTCTAATAAATATTGATATATTTGGTAAATTAGTTTATCTATTGGTATGTAAGAGATAAACGCACGTGTCGCGCACGTGTGCGTAGTCACATATACATCTTTCTGTGTACAGTGCTTGTAACTTTACAAAGACTGGGCCAAATTTCTTATCATTTTGATGATTTCTGACCCTTGCAGTACACTCTAATACTTATATGCTAGATGAATGACCTTCTGATCGATTCCACAACGTTTCTTTCACAATGCAATCACATGGCCATAACTGGTCTTTATATTTGACGACAAGTGTTGAGTTACTGCATCATAGCCTGGCTATTTACAATTTGAAGGCTATTTAACATTTGCAGGCAATTTTTACAACATATTGCCCGCTATTCTAAAATACAATTCAGTACGAGGATATAATGGGAGGGGAAAACCGCGAAAGAATGAAATTAATGAGAATAAAATGCCAGTGAACAGTTAAAAAAAAAAGAAAATAAGCAGTTCCTTCTTCAAGTTAGAAAGAACAATATTTTCTTATATAATGAACTTCAAAGTGTGCCTCTGTTAAAGTTCGAGAACTTTATCCTCCTTTTTCCGACAGTTCGGAAAAATATCACAAAACCAAATGTCTTCTGGAAAATATGACTCTTCAAATGCCCTTAAATTTGAAAAACGAGTTGAAATCGTTAAAGACTGGACCCTATACTGTTGCGATTCCAAAATGATTAAGGCTTAATTTTTTACGAAATTTTGGGTAACCAACTAGGAGACACAACGCACAGTGGGCCAGGGAGGAACTAAAGTGCTAAATATGTAAAATAGAAAGATTTATAAAAAATAACTCACATTTGCACTAAACTGTATGTAGGATTTTGCTGTTTGAAGGAGTAAATTTATACCCTTATTGTGCATACCGGAATTAAATATTTTACGGAGGTATTCTTACATGTAGAGTCTTTCAACTGGGCAAGAAAAAAAAAATTAAAAAAATAAACACCAAAAATGATTTTTGGCGCACTTTAGTTTCTCTCTGGCCCACTGTGCGACAGTACGAAGTATAAGCCTTCCTAACGAGCGCATGTTTAAATTTAGGCATTAGGTTTTCCTTTGACTTTGTCATCGTTTTTGCATCTGCAACAGATAACAACGATGACGATACTGAGGATAACGATAAGGAGGGTGACCACGGTGATAATGATTATGACTTTTCTTGCTATCTTCCATTCGATAGGTTCATCGTGGTCAGCGAAGTTTGTAGTTTCTTCTGGATCATCAGTTGCGGTGTCCATATACTCTGCACGTAATGAGAGAAGGTGGTGTAACAATAACAACAATTCAATTTTTGATACCAAGAGTTTAGTTTCAAAACATGCTTTACTTGTTAAACTACGTTCTAAAAAAAAGTAAGGGAGATTGTTACCGTTATATAAACAGGGATGCCAGTTAGAATTGATCAGAGGGCGTGAAAATCACCTAGAATGAGCTATTTTGTACACAAAAAAAGTCTAAACTATGGTCTGAAATTAACTCGCCAGAGCCTGAAATCAGGCTATTGCCTGAAAACTGGAATCCTGTATGAATAGATATAACGACAACTAAATCAATAGATAGAAAAATAGATACCTGAATAACCACATTAATGAATTACTTAATATCTAAATAAATGAATAATAAAATTATAAAGAATATAACATGATCGTATTTTAACAAATACCAGGCTATTAATGAAATCACTATGCATAAGCCGATACCAGATCAATAAGATATAAAACTGTTATATAACTTGCTTGATTTATGAGTGATTGTGTGAGGTATTTGCAAACGATATAAATTATTAATTCCATGTAACTGTTCAAATTTATCTGACTAAATATGATGCTTATCCAATCGGACATTTCGTCGAGGATACAAGCCAGGGTTGAGGCTCGTTAAGTTGCGAAGCGTTAAACCGCTGTGGGTATTTCTTTTTGTTACTTTTAAAGGCATGTAAGTGAATGGCAACTGCGTGCAACAAAGGACGGAAGGACTACTCTTGTGCAACACAATAGCTTTAAAAAAAACACCCATTTCCGGTCTTGATTAGTTGACAGACAACCCTTTAACACAGTAATCTTTCAATGGAGACAGTAATTAAATCATCTTAAATCCGTTCTTTTATATATATCCCATGATTAAAGATAAGCTTGGTTGCAGGGAATGATAGCAAAAAAAAATCCACAGAAACCAACAAAACTTACACTGAATGTTCAAGATAACAAATAAATGACATGTGCCAAACGATTGTGGTTGAAATGAAAATGTATCAGTAATGGGCATAGAAAGAGGAAATCAAGGTAAGTAGGCCCGACACCATTGATATATATGCCGATGAGAGTTGTGTTTTTTATTGAAGATGATTTCCTCCAAGTTTTGTGAGTTTTTTTATTGTATGTTCTGGTTAAAACAATCAATCTACAGCATAATAAACAATACAGCATGAACTTTGGCCATGATCTCTCGACATACCGTGGCCATACCAGAGCTAAGGATTAGCTTAAAACCTGTCTGAACTAGTTTGGCCGGGGGATTACACCTCTCTGCAAGGTGACTGACAGGTGGTTATCTCATCAAATCAGCTCTCAATTAACATAAGAAAAAGGGGATCATGGGGGAGCAACAGGCACCGATTAGGCATTTTTTGCTATATAGAAGGCGCAAGTATAGCTATAAGTAGTACAGTGGGAATTTAAAGGGATAGTTGAGTTCTTGTTATAGACCCGCAAATGCCTTCAAAGTGCATGTTTATTGCTATTATTCTTATTTATGAAATTTCTAGTGCTTTTTTAGGATCTAACATTACTAAAAAGGTAATTTTAAAACGATCATACCAATTTAGCTCCACTTTCCCCAAAATACGGTGACCGTTAATTAATTAATTAATTGATTAAAGATAACAATACACGGGCCAGCTGGTTGTTCGTATTATAACCAAAACGGACAAGCCAACAAAAAACCATCATCAGCATTGGCTAGGTAAACGTATAATGGAACTCGTTTTGTCAGCGGCTGGTTTAAATGATTGAATATTTGAATATTAGAAATCGTTATATTTATGGATTTTTCAGCCGTCTCTGAACCGATTTTGATCAAACATAGATGATTTTGTCATTTAAATTATACGTTCTTTCAAATTTGACACCCAGTCTTTAATTAACTTACAACAAGAAAATGTTGTTTAGCAACAGAAATCAACTTTCACTTTAAATACAATTCGGCACAAAGAGATATGGCAAAAGGGTCATGTGCTTTAGCTAACTCCTTATCTTTATTGGGTCAATGGCCGCGGAACACTGTAAAAAATAATTTGTTCATTGGTAATTTTTACGTATTTTTTCCATGTAGAATTTACTTGAAAACATTAGTTTTGCCACTTACGCACTTAATTTAAGTTTTGCTAACCCAAACTTTCAATTTAGTAGAACACACGTGGAATATTTAAGTGAAATCAAATACATCAGAACTTTAAGTAATTTCAGCTTGTATTAATTTAGTAATTTTAACTCAAAATCAGAAATTATACGTATTACTCAAACAATTTATGTTGATTATTCTTATCTTTTTAAAGTAAGGACCGATGCAGTGCGTAATAGAAATATTTACATAATTTATGAATATTCATTAAGACCAAATTAAACTCTTTTTTAAGTAAAACAATTCTTTTTTGCGGTTGAATGAAAATTTAAGGACTTTAAAACATTTACTAATTCATTTAACATGGCTAAGCAAAGACAAGACAATTTTTAATTGTTACCCAGTTCAAAACAAATAAAAACTTGATATTTCAGGAAATTGTCAACCAATTTTCCTTATAAGATGCTACGATCAAGTATATATAAAATTTGGAGCCTTTCAATGTGTGTGGAATTGAAGCGTATGTAATAGTTTGTGATGGTGGTAGATATACGGTTAAATCTTAAATAGAAGTAGTGTTAGTGATTAGTGATTAATCTTAAATAGAAGTAGTGAATGATTAGTGGATGTTACTTGTTAGATTAGATGGGTACCAAATCGTGCAATATGTAATCCTATCATAGCTTTTTTTTAATTATCTAAAATGATTACAATACTTAAATTATTTACGTTAATGTAACTCGATTTAACTGAGTAAAAATGTATTCAGCAAAATAAGTAAATTCTACTTAAGATGCCGTAGGTAATATTTACTTAATAAAAATAAGGCAATTCTTTTCCTCAATTTTATTGAGTTATTTCGACTAAATATTTTTTTACACGAGTCGTATGATGAACGACTTTCTTTAATATTAATTTTAATAATACTTTGTTCTTTTATAGCGCATTCGCGTCAGTTGACATTTCAATGCGCTTTACAAAAAAGTATAACAAGATCATGAAAGGAAGATGAAACAGAAACATATGTAGAAAATAATGAAGTTCTTACAGAGAGAACAATGACAACGTTACTTGTCCTTAATACTATTTATATGCTAATATGAAAAGATGAGTTTTGAATTTAGATATGAAAGTTTCTTTGTGTTAGTGATATGCGCTATACGAGTAACGTTCATTATAAATAATCATTATTAATGCTAACCAATTTCGCATGATAGTCCTTCAAAATCATCTAGACAATAGCACAGATTGTCCACGCAGGTACCTCCATTTTGGCACGAGTTCTGGCTACAGTCAACTGAAGATAAGGGATACATTGGAGGAGAAAAACAATTCAATTAAATAAGAAAGCTTAACTTCTCGCTACAGTCCGCTGTACATTCGACTCCTGGGAATTAAGCAGTGGATTTCTTTATTTTAGAGTCCATTTGCACCAATTTGGCCTGGAGGGATTAGACCTCCTTGCGGGGTAACTGGCAGGTGGTCATCTTATCAGATCAGCTCTCAATTGACATAAGAAAAGGGGGCCATGGAGGACCAATGGTCACCGATTAGGCATTGTTTGCTATATAGAGGGTGCAAGTAGTCATAAGTAGTGCAGTGGGGCTTAAAGGCATAAGTTCATTTCAAAATCAACTACAGATAATAGGCACAAAGAAAACATAAGCAGGAATCCAAGAACACACAAAAAACAAAACATACGAGTTCTCGTTACATGCCGACAGATACAAGTTTGAGGCACATGGACATTTTTAAAAGGGCATGCAATGTAGTGGCATAAATTCTCTCTACATGTCACTTCAGATAACAGGCACGCAGGAATTAAACAAGGGAATCTCCCCAGAAATGAAATTAAAGATAAACTTTAGTTCTGGTAAAAAAAAGAAAATTAATTCTCACAGAATCAAACGAAACTTACACTGAATGTTCAAGATTACAAATAAATGACATGTGCCAAACAATTTTGGAAGAAAATGTATACTGGCTGAGTAATGAGCATAAGAAGACAAGGAAATCAAGGTAGTACCAGCCCCGACACAATGAGCGTTGTCCCATATATAGCTTTCTGTGTAAGTGCTTGTTACTTTACCAAGACTCAGTCAAATTTATTATGATTTTGATGAATCCAGAACCTTGCAGTCCACACCAATACTTACATGCTACATGATCAACTGTTCCACACCTGTTCTTTCACAATGCAATCGCATTACCAGTACTAAAGTTTATCTTTAACAAATAAATAAGGGTGCGAGTTCTCGCCACACTCCCATGCAGATCAAAGGCTTAAAGATGAAGTTGAGTTCTGGTCATGCGATTGCATTGTGAAAGAAACGGTGTGGAATCGACCAGAAAAGGTTGATCATCAAGCATATAAGAATATGTGTGTACTACAAGGTTTTGGAATCATCAAAATGATAAGAAATTTGCCCAAGTCTTGGTAAAGTTACAAACACTGTACACAGAAAGATGTATATGGGACTACACGAACACGTGGCGTAAAAATCCCACCCCCGAGTTTTACGATGTTATTGACATATTTGGAATATGAAGGCGTTTGAAGAGCCATGCTTTTCAGGGAACATGTCTTATCTGATTTTCTTCCACACTTGCATAATAAGAATGATAACGCTCACAAATTATTTTTCACCTCTTCCCAGAACTCAACCTTCTCTTTAATAGCAAACCCAATACCAACATAAGTTGAAAGTGATCTATTTTCCTAGCTCGCCCCTTAATTTGAGTTCATTACATGCATGCTTTTCTTCATATGGACATGTGTAACTATTACACCTTTTGGGCCGTATCTAACCTAGGGGGTGTTTCACCAATATCCTAAGTTGAAATTATCTCTAACTTGGACTTAACTATTATGGAAAGACGTTCGCATCTATGGAAATATTTGGGAAAAGATAATTTAAAAGGCATAACATGTTGATTCAAATCATTCATATTTTCTAATATTAGATAGCTTAGACAGATACCGAGATGTGATTGGTCCAGAGCTCGTCACGTGATATCAATTGCGAGGATCCAAATTGTTATATTTTCCTGGCCGGTCACTTTTCAGTGTTATATTTTACCGGCTGGTGAAATGAATATATTTTTAATCAATGCATGTCGCCCTCTTGAGGACTGTATGTCACCAACTACATACATTACACCATTATCGAGGGCCATTTTATTTTTTCAATATTTTTTTTTCATGAATTTTTTTTTTTCCCAAGAAATTTTTTTTTCCACATTTTTTTTTTCCCCAAAAAATGCTTTTTTGGGTAAATTTTTTTTTTCATAATTTTTTTTTGTTTCCCGAAAAATGCTATTTTTTTTGCTAATGCTAATTTTTTTTTTTTTTTTTTTTTTAACCCCAATTTTTTTTTTTTTTTTTTAAAGGTGATCTCGACAAATTATTTTTCCGTAATTTTGATTGTCTCCGAAAAAAAAAAAAAAAAAAATTCGGGCTAAAAAAAATATGGACCCCCCCCCCCCCCCCCCACAAAAAAAAAAACCCAAGGCTATCTAATATAACAGTTATTGACTGGCAGGGGGTATATAACATTCTTTGGACCTGAAGGGAGTTATATTTTCCCTCGTGACCATATTTTCCCTCAGCGCTGCGCGCTTCGGGAAAATATAACCACTTGGGAAATATAACTCCCTTCAGCGGTCCAAATAATGTTATATTACACCCCCTGCCAGTCAATAACTGTATATTATCAAATAGATGTTCTTGATGTGGAATTTATGAAAAGTCTAAAATACTTGAATTTTCACTTTTGAACACATTTTCTTTTAAGGCTACAAAAAGGCTCTCCATATTTGTTTAAAGTCCAACTTAGAGTTAAGTTCGACTTAGGATCTTTGTGAAACACCCCCTAGATATGTTACTGGGTAGCCTACCTTGACACGTGAGTCCGTTTCCACCGGTGACGAAACCTGTAATACAGCTACAGTAGTATGCACCGGCCGTGTTCTTACATTCGCCATACTCCACGTCGCAAACGGAGCTTTCGCTTTCGCATTCGTTGATATCTTCACAGGTGTGTTCCCCAGTCCCTTGCATGTAGCCGGAGTCACAGACACATTTGGCGCCTGCGTCGCTTATAACACACTCGCCATTTTCACAATGGGAACAGTTTAAATGAGCTAAAAAAAAAAATGATAATGCAGGAATATAGGGTTACATGTATTTTACCTGGCTCGGTGGTAAACCAGTGGTCTCGTAAGCTGGACGTCTCGGGCTCTCGGCTTTAAAACCGAGTCCATGCGCTAGTGCCCTTTGGCAAGGCATTGATTCTCATAAGGGACTTTTAGATTTGCACGACGTGAGCGTGGACTGCCACGTGTGACATCCTTTTAAGGCAATGCGACGTCCTTAAAAGGATGTCACACGTGGCAGTCCACGTTCTCGTCGTGCAAATCTAAAAGTCCCTATTACCTCGGAGAGGACTTATAGTCGGCAGTTCACTGGTCGCTTACATACGAGTATTCACATGCTTTGTTAGCAGTCAGGTAAAAAAACAAACCGTCAACCCATCAAATCAAGCTGACCTCTAAGAAATCACGTCTCCTATAACTTTAGGCAAGGAGATACGATTAGTAGTATTTAGTACCTCACTAAAGGGCACACACGCATGCACATCTTTTCGAACCTGAGACCTCTCGGTTACGAGACCTCTGCAATACCACTGTTTAAACTACTTCTTTGTTTTTTATTTGATTGGGAATGATGCCATCATGATTCAATTCAATTTAATTCAATTCAATTTTATTATTTTCACAATTCCATAACAAATGACAATAAGAGCATAGATATCAATGAGGTAAAGGTATAATTAAATTCAACACCAATTAAAGGTTTATTACAAATTATAAAAGATCGAAATAACATAAACATATCAAAATATGGAGGTTCAAACTAAGGCCGAAGGCCTATCATAGGCTATATTTTTTCCATTTTTTCAATCGTTTTGTTAGAACATTACGTTGTCAAGAGTGTAACACATTTAGTGTTGTATCTCTTTTACGAATCACCTCCGCCGCAGAACAACGTCTTCTCTTACAACTCTATAAATAGCGTCCTGCGATGGTATTCAGTCTGATTAGCGTCGGCAGTCAACTAGTACGGGGTGGCGAGCTAATTTAAATACCCCGTAGTCAGCACTTGCATCGCCGTTCTAAAACTCGCTGATAGGGACTTTTAGATTCGCACGAAGACAAAGGGGATTACTACGATCGACGTCCTTTTAATGCACTGCCTTGAATGGACGTCACACGTAGCAGTCCACGCAAATCTAAAAGTCCCTACTGTCTTCTCTTACAACTTTATAAATACCCGTATATAAGCGTGTGTGCGTGTGTGTGTCTAAAATACATTATACAGAGAGATAAGGCACTTATCCACGATTGATACTCTCGATTTGGAACCCTCTACAGGCTCTAAGCATAGCTCTAAGAGAGCAGGGGTCAGGACTCTACAACCGAGCGCAGGGCATAGGGAGAACCTCTTATGCCTCCGTCACCCCTTCGCGTATTTGACTTGCGTATTGCCGCGTATTTATGGCATGCCGTTTAACATTTATTCTTATTTCTTAATATCAAAAAATGATTTTCTGTTGTAAAGCATTCAAGAATTTGATTTCTTGTTATCAAGAAGTTGATATCAAGAAATAGGAATAAATGTTAAAACGGCTTGCCATAAATACGCTTCAATACGCAAGCCAAATACGCAAAGGGTGTCATTGAGGCATTAGTAAGGGTCACACAAAAAAATGATTTTAAGAGGGCGAACGAGAGGGAGAGAGAGAGGGAGGGGAGGAGAGGAAGGGAGGGGGAGAGAGAGAGAGAGGGGGGAGGGAGAAAGAAAAAAAAAACATACCCATACACGTGACCCCGTCATTAGCAAGGTCATATCCATCATAGCAGCTACACAGTGGGGTTCCGTCGATGTTCTCACAGACCCCATAAAGCTCATGGCAGGGATACGCGTCACCTTCGGCCTCACAGGGGTTAGCTGGTGGTCCCATGGTTGCTTTATTATCATAAATAATAAGAAGAAGAATAGGAAGAATAAGAATGATAATGAGTCAAATAAGGCGAAACAAAAATGATGTAATATTGCCCTTTGCGACCGACCCAAAAATCTTGAAAACTACAGTCGGCTTTTTTAGAAAAAAAGGTATTAGAGCATTCAAAACTGATAAATATCAGCCCAAAGGAGTTTACAGATAGCACATGGTACAAATGACCCCAAATATCCACAGATCTTTTACACATGGAGAAGTTCCACATTTCCGGGCAATACAACATATTTCTTTTAGGCCTAATAAGGGAGTTTACAGAAAGCACATGGTACAAATAACCCCAAATATCCACAGATCTTTTACACATGGAGAAGTTCCACTTTAAGCATCTTAGAATAATAACTGCCAAAGTCCTTGATGTGCTTCATGAATACCTTTTGTTTGACCTCTTGAAAAGAATACTTCCACCTGCGTATCATAGATCGTACCGTAGGTGCATAAATGAATTATGTTACATAACTTTCATGAGCGCATATCCAGTATCCATCTCTGTGGGTTTTACCATTTTGGTACAAATGACCTTTATCTGACCATGCGCGAAATGTATCTGTAAACTCCCTTATACTAGTAATATAACTTTTATTTTCTTTATTATTATTATAATCTTTATTATTATTGATAACATTATTATTAGTAGTAATATTATTTTTAAGTGTAATATTATTTCATATTCTAAATTCTTATAATTATCATTGTTGTGATTATTATACCATTAGTAGCGGTAGTGGTAGCAGTATTATAATTATTTCTGTTTTTTATTATTACTACTACTACCATAGTCCAGAATCTGTCCGATCCTTTATAATTCCCTACACACTTGATTCAAGCCGTCGAAGATGGCGTTCGCCGGGCGTCCTAATTTAATTATCACGCCATCATCGGCTGGTAGCAAGTAAGTAGGGAGAGGTAGCGTTGGTGTGGTGGAGATCAACATTAAATAGGCCAGATTGTGGACTACTACTACGGCAATTAAATTTCTTCTACAAAGCGCCTTCTGAAAATTTACTGAAGCATTATCATTAAAACAGAATATATATCGCGACATAAATAGCATAGATTACAAACAAAAGAACAATAAACATAAACTTCACACTTTTTCAATCCTACTTATTTTCTTGTGGGACAATTAAACAACAACAACATATAACGCAGTATTTTAAAGATTTTGTTTTACTTACAGGTGTCTGTGACTTCGGTAGTGCTATTCCCAGTGGCAGGGGTGGTGGCCGCCTGACATTCATAAGCAAACATGGTGCTGACGCAAACGGTGCCCTCACCACAAGGCGAGGAAACGCAAGGATCAACTGGTAGATTAACAGAAATAATCGGGAATTATTTGGTTGTACACAAGAAAGCTGCAGCGGGGAAAACAGCTTCGCCGTAAATATTTACACTATTTAAGCGAATTCTTGGTTTTCACATGGAACCAAAACACTACATGTAACCTTAACATCATTGTTTTATGTCAATTAATGCAGGGCATTAGTTTAAAACGTGTACTTAAAAACCGTCTTCATAAAAAACGACTTCATTAATAACCAATGCACCTCCTTCATAGTTCGAGTCCGTTAATCTCGCTATACAGCTTTTTTCTCCACTCTGCATATAATTGGCAGATGAGTCATGACCCATATGGCATCAAGTCTTACATAACATAACATTCTTACTCTTAATATCTTTAGTAATGACGTCACGAGTCTGTCTAGTAATACGACTCCATGAACTACCTTCTTCACTGACGAACTCTTTCGTGTCCGCTACTCTTCCTAATAAGCTTTTATCCGCTCTTCAAATATTTATTATCATATATGACCCATATGGCTATTCATATAATATAACATGTTTGTTCTTACTATAGTTAGTAATTACGTCACGAGTCTGAGTAGAGCGCTTTCGCAAACACGGCGGAAGGCGAAGACCGACGGTAACGCGAGCGAAAAATCAATCTGCGCATGCGCGAACCAGAATTTTCTCCGTCTTGTTGATTTTCACGACAGTGCTCGGCCATACTAGCGTTCGTTCCCTAAACACGACGGAAGAGCTTTATAGCCGTAATTCTCCCGTCGTGTTTGCGAAAGCCATGACTTACCATCGATGAAAACTTTCATGTCCATTATTCCTGCTAGGCTCTGCTGCGTCCCGCTCACGACGATGTTCTGCTCAAAGCCAACATTGGTCGGATTCCCCAGCTCGATGTGACCTATCCCGCCCCTAGTACTGTCGGCCCAATAGAACGTACCGTTGTATACCACTATGTGTTCTACATGTCCAATCGGGGTCGATATATTGGCGAGGGTACTACGAACATTCGTCGTTGTGTCGTATGTTTCGATACTCCCAAATCCGTTGATCCAATAGAGCCGGCCATCTGTGGGGAGAAATATTCAGAAATCGGTGTCGGAACTGGCATTCTTTTTCAAACACAGGGAGGGGACGTCTTGTTAATGACATACTTTAACAGTACTTTTTTGGTAATAGATCAGTCGTACATAACATCTGAGCAGCAACGAACCGATATGATAAATCAATTTATAACTATGCATACAGGGACAGCCGGTATGACCAGTTGTGAACGGTTGCATGTTGATTCAGTACAGATATTAATCTACATTTGCCACTCTCCACCCAGGTGTTAAATGGGTACCGGTAGAAAGGAATTCCTTGAATGCTGTGAGCGCCGAAATCGGCTGCCTAGCAGAGCCGGGGTAATAGTTGGAGCGCTTTAAGCACCATGCATGGTGGATGCGCTATATAAATATCCAATGTTATTATTATTACAGGAACTAGCTGGCTATCGTTCGCAATTACACATTATGTAGAACTACTAACCGAAAAATATCTCGTTAAATGACGTACCTTGTGGATTTCTTGTAAAAGCTGTCACATTGGCGAGATTTGTATCGACGATGGCCGTTGATTCACTACCATCCACCTTCATTCTCACGATCCGATCGCCCTCAGCAAAATACAGAAATCTGGAAAGAGAAAATTCGAAATCATACTAACACCCATTAAAACCTTAAATGTTGTTCAGTGTAAAAATATTATTGGATAACGAAAATCTACATGAGGGCAATGTTATGTTTTCAACCAACACGATAACAACAATATGACAAACGTGGGTTATTTATGCTCAATTCATAGGAACAAGATAATCATAATTACATGCGAAAAGCATTACTCAAATTGTGCACAAGATTGCCTTAAGTTGGTTGGACACAAAATAAGTTAGGCATTTTTGTATAAGTAGTAGAAGTAATAGTCACTATATTAGTAGTAGTTGTAGTGGTACGAGTAGTAGTAGTACTAGTAGTAGTAGTAGTAGTAGTGGTAGAAGAATTATGTAGTATTATCAGTGGTAGCAGTAGTAGTATGAGTAGTAGTAGTAGTATAAATCTTATTAGTTGAAGTAGCAGTAGGAGTAGTAGAAGTAATATTAGTTGTTGTTGTAATAGTAGTTTAATTAGTAGTAGTAGTAGTAGTAGTAGTAGTAGTAGTAGTAATAGTAGTAGAAGTAGTTGTAGTATGAGTAGTAGTAGTAGTAGTAGTAGTAGTAGTAGTAGTAGTAGTAGTAGTAGTAGTAGTAGTAGTAGCATAAATTGTATTAGTTGAAGTAGTAGTAGGAGTAGTAGCAGCAGTAGAATATCAGTAGTAGGAGACGAAGGGGCGTTCAAAAGGTTCATAGCTCGACGACTATAAAGCGCTTTGGGCGGGGAAGTAATTATGTTAAATTATTATTTTCCCGATTACAGGTGACGAGATTTCAGTTCAGCAGAAGCCCACCTAGGTATTAGAGCAACCGTTCAAACTGGAGTACCTGGGACTTTAACAAAAAAGGACTATGTTAATGGAAGTTGTTCAGTGATCTATTTCATGGTGCTCCAGCTGCCCATTTGTTTACTGTGAAGTAAGCAAGGACATTTTGGCATTATGTTGCCACCAACTCCTCATAGATATCCTTCAGCTTCATCTGAGCACCATGAAACGAATGACTGCACGTTGCTGAACAACATATATCGACATAGTCATTATTTCAAAGTCCCAGGTACTCTACTTCCAATGACTACTCTTATACCTAGGCTGGACGTTACTGAACATATATCGCGTCATCTATAACGGAAAAGATGAAATTTTGATCAGACATAATTACGACACTGAATACCTGATCCTTCGAAGTCGACCAATGAACTTATTGAACGCCCTTTGCCATATCATTTACCCGTTTGCGCCATCTACGCTGAGTCCATAGATTTGTGCCGCCAAGGTAGCCAGTCTTATCTTGCCGGTTCCGTCGACTCGGATAGAATTCAGTAGACCGGATACCTCCCCGAACCAGTAGATCCTCCGATCTACTTCATTGAAGGCGATACAAAAAGGCTCTGAAGAAATCAACAAAAAAACAAAAAACATAAGGTTTGATATTATTATAATAAAAGATAGTCATTTCTTCGGTAATGTTCGGGAAAGTGTTTCGAAAAAACAGTTATAAAGCAGTCAAGATCACAATCGTTGAAGGCGATTCAAAAGGCTGTGAACCTCCCCGAACCAGTAGATCCTTCGATCTACTTCATTGAAGGCGATACAAAAAGGCTCTGAAGAAAAAACAAACAAACAAAAACATATGGGTTGGTATTAGTATTATAAAAGATAGTCATTTTCTTTCGGTAATGTTCGGAGAAAGTGTTTCGAAAAAACAGTTATAAAGCAGTCAAGATCATAATTGAAGGCTCCAATAAACAGGCAAATATAAGGGGATGATGATATCATAACAGTTATGATATTTATTTCTTCAATAACGTTCAATAACGTTCGGAGAAAGTGTTTCGAAGAAAAACATTGACAAAGCAGTAAAGATCACAATCCTTAAAGGCGGTACAAAAAAAAAAAGCCGTGAAAAGAAAGAAAGAAAGAAAGAACACAACACAACCAAAACATAAAGGTTCATATTATGATAATAGTAATGGCAGATATTTCTTCGATAATGTACGGAGAAAGTATTTCGAAAAAATAAATCCAAAACAATATACATTGTATATCATGCATAAAACGATATAAAACGGCTCTGAATAAACAAACAAACCAAACAACAAACTAACAAGGAACAAAAACTACTTTTAAAATCTATTTTTGTATATTTATCTATATCTTATCTTATTTATACAGGGTAGCGTTGTGAGTAACACAACTGCTTTCAAAATATTAAATGACATTTTTCTGAGTGTAAACTTTTTTTTTTTTTACTCACACGGTATACATGTACATTACATATACATTAATTCAAATAGCAACGAATACACACATGCACATAGAGTTGCTTTGGTCTTGGACCTCATCAGAGTAAATCGCAAGAATGAACAAAGAGTCGTCATTGAATATCTCTCTCTCTCTCTCTCTCACCCTCTCTCTCTCTCTCTCACCCTCTCTCTCTCTCTCTCTCTCCCTCCCTCTCTCTCTCTCTCTCTCTCTCTCTCTATGTATATATCTTTCTAGTTTTTAAAACAAGGACCTTAACGACGGAGTCAAATACCCAACAATATGGTAATAAAGTACAAGTTACACAGCCTTCAAGAAAGTTCATTATCGTTTGTATCTGTGTGCCATCATCTATGCATGTATGAGAATAATATTCAGTTATTCACAAGTCATGCATTGCTATTTATACTGGTATGTTCGTGTTTACTCTCATAGTCCGAGGGGGTGGGGGTCAAAGAGTCAATAAAATTCTAAATTCTAAAAATCCATAAAATGTTCTCTAATGCCAGTACAATAAAACAAGTTACGAAATTGCTGGTAAGTAGTTAAACATAGTAGATGGTTGGTGGTTTTAAACTTCATGTATCCTTCCATTTTGCGGTGGTCTATCCAAGAAACCATAAAACCTTTTTGTTTTTGTTTTTGAATTAAAGATGGTCGTTTGCCAAACGACCATCTTTAATTTAAAAAACGAGGATAATAAAGAGTTGAAATAAAAGAGCAAAGTGCTAAGAAAAGTAAAGGGTTTAAACTCGGTGGAAATTATCGGAAATTTTCGCCCTGTACTATAAATGACCATTTTCAGACATTTTAGCGTTGGGTTGTACGGTACTCGCCAGAAGCCCTTAAGTGCCAGACGCTTTTAATCAGTTCAAAAATCGAATTTAACAATTGTGTCAGACATTGAAGGCTGCAAGAAACGTTTATTTGAATCAAACATGATGTTAAAGGCCTGATAATACCCGGAAATTCATCATGCCGAACGGTATCAAAAAGCCGATAAACTCTCTTCTGAAAAACTTAGAACATGCAAGTCCAAAAAATGATAATATATTGAGTTAATATCATTTATTCATACCCATGATCAACATTACCCAAACGTAAGCAAACTAATAAAGAAAACAAAAAACCTATGGCAAATTAGAACGACTTAAATCGGGTTTTTAAAGGGACGGAACTGATCCATAGTGACCGCCAAAGCTCAATCTTGAAACAATTGCTAACAAGGGCCGCCATTAAACCACAACCCTTTATCATGTTCTTAAAAGTTCAATGAAACACATTATTTCCTCTTCCTCTTCTGTTTCTCATACATTATATAAAAACCAAAGCCAATAATCCACTAATAACAAAAACTAATAAGTGAGCCAAAGCTCGATCTTGAAACAATTGCTAACAAGGGCCGTCATTAAACCATAACCCTTTATCATCCAAAGCCAATGAGACACATAATTTCCTCTTCCTCTTCTGTTTCTTATAATTATAATGTTTCTTATAATTATAATTATAAACAAGTCATCTCTGTTTACCACTCCAACGTACTCAAGACACACTATGAAAAGCTCTTTGTTGATCTCTTTTTATGTTTTTAAGCTGTACAGATTAGTCATCTCAAACAATACAGACTACCAGGACCCTTCAACTTAACACGTAATCCCGCTTAATCCTAAGAAGAAAAGAGGACAAAGAGGACAATAAAGGTCGTAAATCAACTTGTTAATCCATAGATCAGCCTAATAATAATGGTCCTCATTTGAATGCAAATGTGTGACCACTTACTTGTGTATAGGTACTACAGCCATGTAAAACCATGAAACGCTCACTTCACCTGATGATTATGAATCAAAGGCGCTGGGGAAGTTCAATCTACGCCTATTGTGCATTGTATCTAGCGTTGTGTGAATTTATATTTTGTCCTGCTCTATATACATGTATATATACATGTATAATATACCAAGGATTATTAGATGAAAATTGAATAAATTGATAAATTAGTCAATTAATAAGCTTTTATATCAATTGAGCAGACTTAGTTAATTCAAAAGTTCTTAGATGAATTAAGGCTTTAAGCAGATTTTTTTCCTCAAGTTTTAACTTTTTAGTGAAAAATAATTGGATGTGTCTTTTCTACAAAGAGAAATGTATTACAGTGGACTTTCACTACGGAATCAATTTCCTAAAGATATTTCCGCTTATCACTTAATTATTTTAAGTAAAAGTTTTTAAAATATTTGATTAAGTCATAGTATTTCTCACTACGGTATCTTTCTTTTCCTATTATTCATTCCCGTTTCCCTTGATACATGTATGTTGTATTTACTGGTACCACCACCCCACCATCAAGTGTTAATTGTATGATACAAAAAAAAGCATAATATTAAAGATAAACTCCAGTACTGGTAAACAAAAAAAAATTAATTCTCACAGAATCAAACGAAACTTAAACTGAATGTTCAAGATTACAAATAAATGACATGTGCCAAACAATTTTGAAAGAAAATGTATACTGGCTGAGTAATGAGCATAGAAAGACAAGGAAATCAAGGTAGTACTAGCCCCGACACCATGTGTGTTGTCCCATAATAGCTTTCTATGTGAGTGCTTGTTACTTTACCAAGACTCGGTCAAATTTATTATGATTTTGATAACTCCAGAACCTTGCAGTGCACACCAATACTTACATGCTAAATGATCAACTGTTTCTGATCCTTTCCACACCTTTTCTTTCACAATGCAATCGCATTACCAGTACTAAAGTTTATCTTTAATATTGTACTTATAAGCAGGGGATAATTAAACCTATATGGTTTGTGTCCCCCCCCCCCCCTTGTAGAGTCAACTTTTGCTTTAATGATTGTATATTTGATTGTAATAGTATTTTACTTTTTATGAATCTGTGGAAATAAATGGAATTGAAATAATAGAATGAAGGAACTGTGCATTGTACATGTATGTATAGTGAATACTGATCGATTTCTTTCGTCTTTTGTTCATGAAGAGGAACATATATCTATTAATTCACTTTCACGATCCTGCATTGGAAATTAATGTTTAGTTAGTTTATTGAACTTTCAATGAAATATAATGCGTCTTTATATGAACAACAGATGAAATAATCGAAACAATGTGTACCCGCGCTATCTTCTTGTCAGGATTATCTAAAACGTATTCTAATCTGTTTCCCCTCTCTTGTATTGTATGTACTTTGCATCATTGTTCATTGTCCTAATCTCTTATTTTTTTAATCTTTAATTCCATACCGACTCCATCTACACCAACTATGTAAGAAGGCTTTGTGTCGATCGATGTAAAACAGCGGTTTAATAATTTGGGGTGAATTTTGACAATTATCTTGATTTTTCACATGCATTTCGGTGATATTGTTTTGCTGAGACATGGTAACGTTGCATCGAAATTGAAGAAACGACCACTCATTAAGCGGACACAGGCACTCACGCACATCCACCCATGCACCCACGCACACTCACATTAATGATCGAGTTATGCATACATACATGTAGTATAATGGCATCCATGCGGAAGCTGGAGTAATCCTAATGGAGAGGCAAGAGTGACAACTTGCCAAATATGCGTGCTAAAAACACAGGACTCCACTATTACTATTTATATTTTATTTTTTTATTTATTTATTTATTTTTGTTATTTTTATTATTATTATTATTTTTATTTTTTATTTTTTTTAATTTTTTTTATTTTTTTTATTATTATTATTTTTTTTTTATCATTACTATCATCATCATTCAGTTACACCCACACACTCACCCACACATTCTGCAATATTAGTACTTACTGACGCCCGGAACGATGGTGACCGTAGAGGGCTCGCCGTCCAAAATATCGCCGCCGATCTTATGTGGGTCCCTCTGTCCCCATATCACCATGTTTGTCATAGGGTCATAGGTCATGACCCCGGGTCGCCGGATGTGTTCGAAGAGAGCCCGTGTGTAGAACTGATTGGTCAGGAGTTCGCCAGGTCGTATGTCGCTGTAGTAGATACCATAATTGATCTGGTCCACGAAGAATATCTTGTCCACAGCTGGAAAGAGAAGATATATTTAGAATTCATTAAAAAAATCCCTCTTTCTGTATTCTCTCCATAGAAACTCTTACTTCAAGAGACAATAATTGAATTTGAAAATAGATTCTACTCAATCGTCTTTGTTGTTATAAATACAACTATGTAATTAATGGAATGTGTATGATATATAACAATACATTTACAAATGAGTAAATAATATGTATGCATGTTTAGATGAGCTACTTAAATATATTCATCATGAACGCAGGTCAAGACTATCAAGCTTTATGATATCGAGTGTCCCACACCAGCCTCATCACATTACCTAGCTTTTGTGATTGTATTTTTTAAATGCATTTTATTAGATGATAATAATAATAATTATAGGTATTTCTATAGCGCCGCCTATCTAACAATTCTATTCAGAGGCGCATTATTTATTACCCCGGCTTTAGCCTAGCTGCCATTACAGTACTCGGGTATTTCAAGGAATTAATTCCTGCCAGGTAAATGAAGATTAATGCCTTGCCAAAAGACATTATGCCGTGTCGGGGATCTAACCTCGACCTTTGAGTTTCAAGTCAAGTGCTTAAACCACTCGCTTACGACGCTTCCATTCATTCGGTTATTATTTATTTACTTTTATTTATTTATTTATTCACCTATTGATTAAATCTCTTTGTTGTCTATTTAATTTATTGATAGACTGTGTTAATTTGATGATTATACGAATTTTGTTTTGTCATAGTGCTCACTCTACTATGTTGTTCAATACTTACCATAAGCGGAACAAAAGCAGAGAAAGACTAAAAAGACCAATGTCGCCATTTTGGTGTCACCTTTTATCTGAAAGTCAAAATAAATAACAATATTAAAGGCTAATGATATTTACATGTATAATGATAGTATCAATAACATTAATGATAATAATAATAACAATACTAATAATAACAGCAATAAAAGTAACAATTACAATGATGATGATAATATAGTAATTAAAATATAAATAATAATTATAATAATGTTATAAATAAAAATGATTACAAGGATGATGAGATGATAATTATAAAAATAATGTTAATAATAATAATAATAATATCTTACATAGAAGAACATGTACGAAGCGAAAATGAAAGCTATAACATAAATTTTAATTTTAAATGCGCGCACATAATATAATATATCTTATACATACAGTGATAATAGGAGGTATTACGTCACGATGAGAGCCCTGACACTTTCATGTCTGTCTTGCCCTATTGACGGGAAATTAAGCCAACCCTTGTAACACGTTCACTTGTTTGAATAGCAGAAAATTACAGAAACAGTATGGCGACAGTTTGAAATAAACCGGACAAATGAAGAGAGAGTTATAAATGTTTTGAAAATATAAGATAACTAAATCTATATATATGCGAAGCTTTATAATCAAATGAACAACGTGTACACTCTCCAGGAGTCCAGCATGCCATGTACAAAACATCCTTGTTTTCACGAAGTGACGGTAGTGAGGAAAATCGTCACGCAAAGTGAATGCAATTTTTTTTCACTACCGTCACTTCGTGAAAACAGCGACGAAAAGTATGAGTAATTTCTGTTATTCTCCAAATTGCCTTCTCTCGTTGGGCACTACTTGTAATATATTATAAATAGCATATTATTATCGGTCATGTAGAAGAAAAGAATGTATACATTTTGAAAATTAATATTTTAGTTATGTTGAGAGTAAATGCGGAAGTTGTCTTGCACGACGTCACAGTGACATTGCTGATTCAGGCAATTTGAACTTTGAAGTACATGTACCGCGTATACATATTATGTACAGTATCACTACAAGTACAACTTTGGAAAATCCGAAATTTGTTATTACATTTTTTGTCCGATTTCATTCAAACTTTTACCAGCCTTCTTCTCTGATATTATTCTGCTTTGTGTTGGATTTTCCAATCTGGCTAGTGGAATAAATGTTAAGGTTTTTGTTGCGTCAACAATTATTTCATACATGTACATTCAAAAAACTAATTTCTTCATCTGAAAGTGAAACGGGAAGAGGGTCGTCACTTAATTTCTTTGCTATTTATTTCAACTCAGATAAATCACTTTTAAACAACTAGATGTAGTGGTAACTGCAACGAATAAAATGTAGAGGTTTGGGCCGTTGGGGTGTATATATTTCAATTTCAATTTCAATTTATTGTCCAATAATATTGGAAATTTGTTTTGCTCACATTTTACAAACGACCTCCAGTTTAATTTAAACAGCTTGCTTTACGGCGTCTTTTGGAGGAATCCTACCAAGTACAAAGTATCAAAATAAGTTTACATATGCTTTGACATATAAATCCTTCAGAATATTGCTATACAGAAGTTTTCTTACCTTATTTATAAATTAGTTATTTTAAGTTCTCGTGTGAACGGGATGGCCCGGAAAGTTTACAAAAAATAACATTACCGAAATTAAGAAGAACCTGCAGGTAGCATTTTGATTGTATTTGCGGATAGAGAAAAGAACGAAGGTATTTAGAAAACGTTGAGTGCGACTGAAGTCGTACCACATGCAGAACGCATAAAAAAACACCATGGAAAAAGAGCGGATGATTTCGATTTTCATAATTTGTTTTACTGCTAGAATGATAGAATCATTTTGGATTCGCATGCTTCATTCAGATTTTGACAGTGTATTAATTAAGTGACAAACACGTAACATCTGAAACACAGATATTAAAGAAATAAGATGAACCATATGGAAGGCCGGGAAATATTTTCTTCTAAAGGCAGCTTACCATGCTTACACAGTTACACACAAAGAACATGGACCACTCAAAGTGAACGCAACAGCTATAGTCAGTTTGGAGTTTGCAATTTTATCTGTGCAAGTGGCAATTAAATCCGTAACATGTCAAACCAATAAACGAGTGGGTAATAAGATGAAGCAAAAACTTACATTGAGTAAACAACAAATGACAGTAATATAATTATAAATCCACTTAACGCACGTGTTTCCTTCCAGTCGGTTATGTCCACACACAAAAAAATATCCTTGAAAGCCACACCAAGAAGTATGTTCTTGCCGAAACAAATGACAGCTATATAGTGCACGCTGAGCTTGTCTTTACTCTCCCTTATCTATACGCCAACTACTCGCTGTGAAATCGATAAAACGATAGGGGTGTTATGTAATAGGGTTTTGTTCGGGCCGCATATGGCTGGAGTAATGAGTCATGATTTTTAAGGGGGCTGATCGAGCGAATAAGAATTAAAGGTAATACGAAGTTTTGGGAAATTTTGAAAATTGGGTGGATAGTGAATCTTTACAATTTTGATATATTTGGATGCCACTGTGGATGTATTAGAAGCACAACAAAAAATAACCCCTAAAACACTTCTGTTTTCGAGACAAATTGAATATAAAAATTTACCGGTGCTCCCGGTAAATGTTGATAAATTTCAAATAGCGCCTACGGCCGTACAATGGTAGCTGCGACCATGAAAGTCTCAGAAATATGTAGTTGTGATATATAATTTCCAAACGGGAATAGCTAATCGGTCGATTTTAGTCAAGAAACATTGTTTAATAACTAAATTGATATCTTGACCTTGAGAGGGAGCTATACAACATAAAGAGTTTATTATTTATAATTTCATAACTTTAGACTCGATTTCGACCGGGACAACGATCAATGAATATTGTAGGGCCGCATATGCGTCCAATATGTTCATTTGAACCAAATTCATGACCCCATACCAAAACTTTGTAATACCTTTAATTGGGATATTTTCCTAAGCTCCACACAATAACACAACTTGGGTAAAATCTTAATCTGCTATTAGAATACACCGGATTTCGCAGTATATATATTTTCTAGATTTACCACTGGTAAAAGAGTCTGAATGATAACAATATTTAATTTTTATATAGCGCTTAATACAAATGTCTCTAAGCGCCTTACAAATATATTATTATATTCCAGCCGGGCGTTACTTGACGCTCATAAGCTGTTTGACCAACAATGACATAGTTACTACAGCCCCACAATTATTATTTTTTAGGGGGGGGGACCTGCATAAATCGTCATCACTTGATCATGAAGGTCAGTATCAATTGTTATCATTGTTGTTAGCAGGGTATGTGAGTTAACTCACATATCCCTGTTGTTAGTATTGCTCCGCAGAACAACATTGGCTTGACCAAGCATTACATTCCCTGTAGACAGCTACGTACTCAAAAGTGGGGGAGCGAACCTTCGCTCATGCTGGGCCGTTATTAATATTATGGAATACTCTCCCTCAAAGAATTAAAAATAGCAGTTCTGGTGAAGTGTTTAAAAAAGGCCTTTCATGTCCGTACCTCTCCTATTGTACTATTTGTCTATTCATCATGTATTTCATCTTTTGCACAAGTTGCGCCTTGAGCATTTGATTGTCAAGTCGGTTTGGCGCCTTACAAATCTTATGTATTATTATCATTATCATCATTTTTGTTGGGGTAAGGGGCAACAGCCTTAAGCGAACCCCCCCCCCCCCACACTCCTTCCAGTATACGCCATTGACAGACCTGCCAACCTCTGGAGTTCAAAAACTGTATTCTTTAATCCCAAAAGTTGTATTTTACTGACAAAAGTTGTATTCTTGAAAAAAAAACACGGATTGTTACGCGGATCAATGCCTCTTACAGTTCCTACCTACAGGAAGAAATTTTTTATGGATCATTGGTTGAATATGCACGATTTTGTCATGACTGGTGTGTTCGATGAACCAATGAACATACCCAAATTGCTGATGTGAGATGCTTGAAGGATACTTAACAAAACATAATGGGAATTTTGCCATTGAAAATGTCACAAAAAATAAATAAAATTTTTTTTTTTTTTTTTTTTTTTTTGAAAATCGTATTTTATTAAGGAAAATCGTACTGTCGTATTTGCTTCTAAAAATCGTACTAAATACGACTAAATCGTACTGGTTGGCAGGTCTGCATTGATTATCACTGCGGCTTCCATATATGAAGCTACATGTATGAGTGTGCGAACTTTAACTGTGCCATCCTCCTGTATGATAATCTCGTCCGCTTATGTAATACAATTTTTGTTTATCATTTCAACTTATCTAGTGACCGAGTTCATGCAAGAGAGTGCATTGAAAAGTCATAATGTTAACTGCGGTCCAATCTTCTTTTAACCATAAAATACTGGTACATGTTTACGAACAGTGGATGAAGGCTATATACATACCAGGCCTTCCCTGTATAATAAAAGTAATAATAATAATAATAATAATAATAATAATGGTGCTAATAAATCGCTCTCCACTGAAGTATCTAAGCGCTATAAAACCAAAATACGATGATAGACAATGACATATTCAACAAAACAAGACTTTACAAATTAACCTGCAAATTACAATGTACCCTTTTCCTTCTCCCTGTTTTATCTAGCTGTAATAAAAGTCATGATCATTTAATTGTTCGCCGAGAGGTAGTCAAAATATGGGTCATAATAGTTTGTGGATATTTACATGTAGGTTCATTGAATATTTCAATAGATTATCATTTCAAACGGCGTTGGTAGAATTATTGTTTATTTATCTCTCACATTTGCCCTCTCTTTCCAAGAAGTTACCAACTGGTAACTTCTTGCTCTTTCTCTATTCTCTCTCTCTCTCTCCCTCGCTCTCTCTCTCTCTCTCTCTGTTTGTCTGTCATCCAAATGAACAGTTTTCACGCGTTATGGCTCGTTCATATACGAAACGGTAAGCGGCGGCTTATTTGTTTCTTTGTTTGTGTCTTATTTTTCGTTTTAAACTTATCAATGAAAAGTTACTGCACGCAAAACGGTCATCATAAGCGTGTATTCGCCAAGCTCTGTTATGAGAAGCAGTTCATCGTAAATAGGAAACCGCCGCATTTTACTTCGACTGTATAAACTGTTCTCCCCTGTATTTCTTCGATTTGGTTACATAATCATGTCCTTGGCCCGAACCTCAAAGACCCCCAAAGAATCGAATGTAATTAAATAAATTCAGTGAATGCAGTCGGCTGTTTTCTCGGATCCGAGCATCGTATTCGTAAGGTATGCGTCACTGAAGGCATGTTTTCATGTTAAAAGCACATTGAACGGCTGGGGGGGGGGGGGGGTTGGTGGGGGGTGGGGGGTTGGCGGGGGGGTGGAGGAGGGCAGGTGTAGACGTTGTAAAATAATGTAATACAAGCTTGTCTTTTCAATCAAGCTTGTTTATAGCGCTTTCCGTTCATGCGAGCCAAGTCGAATTAATCATTTATTTATTTATTCATTTGTTATGTATTTATTCATTTATTTACGGTTAATTACACTTCTTGACTCGTAATCAGTGACTGAATTTTCACAAATCCATACAAAACAAATAAACAATACTAGAATCAATAGGATTATTGCACAGAGTTATAATACAAAACAACTCAGTCTGGTAAATAATCAAGTTTCGTAGAGAAGAAATTGATAAATGAGTAGTAAATAGAGCAAGACATTTTTCATCACTCTTGTTAGTATTTTTCATCTTCTTGTAGGTACTATACAGGCTAGGTTCATATACACTCGGCTGTTTTTTTATTATATTAGGGACTTTTAGATTTGCGTGGACTGATACGTGCGACGTCCGTTCAAGGCAGTGCATTAAAAGGACGTCGATCGTATCAGTCCACGCAAATCTAAAAGTCCCTATTGTTAGAGCTAGAGAGACGAGCATTACTTCGTCACAATGATTTATTCAACTTTAACAGTTCAAAGTACTTTTTTATCATGTAATCGTTGGTTGAGAAAATATCACAGTTAAATAGGAATTCTAAATAGTATGCCCCCAAACAAAATTAGAAATTCTAATAACAAATAATAATAAAATTGTAATGATTGGTAATTTAATTATCGAATCCAATATCATCTTTTCGAGCAAACGTGTGAATTGAAAAGACACCTACAATCTACATTCGATTCATTTACATTTAATACATTTTTCATTAACCCAATACAGTACCTCACATAGCGTATACTACAGGTAGTACGGTATGTAGAAAAAAAGGTAAGAAGTTACCCTGATCTCCCTGATGGCCCATTAACGACCCCCATGACTATGCAAAGGCACTCAACTCAAGCATTCAAGGGATTGTTCCGACTATGTGTGTGGGTGAAGGTTGAGAATAATTGGTTTTGTGTTGCCACTTGGTCTACACCATGCACCAATTAGCCCGTCTACTGTATGTTCGAGCGTAGGTCTATGGTTCGAGTAAAAATCTTCTTCTTCTCCCAGTAGATGGTACAGACCCCCCCCCCCCCCCCACCCCCCCCCCCCCCCCCTCCCACACTCAGTGTTATTTAGGGTACGCATAATTATGTTCGTTCCCTCTTTTTGAAAGCACCCCCTATCTGAGGACTGCCAACATTTCCGAACCCCCCTTTCGGGCTTTTTGTGGGCTTTTCCTGCCTTGGAGACCCCCCCCCCCCCTAAATCATGAAAAATGCTCAATGTACCCCCCTAAATTCGGAATAATTTCTCAGGAGTCCAAAGAGACGAGAGGAAAAAAAGAAAAAACACCCCCTTTGTAAAGAAATCTCAGGGTGAAAAGTTAATACACCCCTTTTTTTTTACAATTCTCGGGCCGGACTTTGTCGCACGAAAAGTACCCCTTTACCGGACATTTTGGTAACACGCATGGGTCATTCCGACCCCGGAGTGGGGGGGGGGGGGGGGCGGGGTACAGACCACCGTAATAATTTCGTCTTCTTGAGCATTTGGTCTAATTGCTTCAGAAGTTTAGAAAAGAAAGACATTACTTTTGTGTGGTTTAATTATCCAAGCT